CAACTGATAACCAGTCATTAAATCGACACTCGCATAACGCGATCATTTGAAAGCGTTCCATTGCATGAGATGAGTTAAATTCACACAAAATAGCCATCAAAAAATAATCGCGTTTTGAATTATTTCAAAACATACGTTTTGAAATAATCGCTTATCTCAATATACCTCTAACATTCCGTACAGTTCTTCCAAACGAAAAAAAAATTAAACTACTCTAGTATTCAGTTGAACTTTGAGTGAAAAAAATAATCAACGGTAATTACAATGATACAAAGTGAATAACGCAAAAACGCTTCGATATCAAGAAATGGATCAAACGAAACACCCGATTCACAATTCTCTGTCATATAAGTGAATGAAATTGAGTGATCAATAAAGAAATAAACATGACGAAACATATTAAGCACGCCGCTGATCAACAGACAATGTCAAACAACACAAAAACCGGTTAGAGAAACGTAATTAAAGGGGAATTTTCCAGTTAAACAACAAAGAGTTTTATTTCCTGAGGCGGGGGAAATAAAGCGAATGAACTGGAAGCACCATTAGGACAATGGAGAAATTAATAAGTGAACGAAATCAGCATGGAAGAATGAATTGCTGCAGTAAATATAATAACAGTAAGAATGCAAAAATGACCATCGTAAATCTATGGATTAACATAACTGCAACGTTATAATCGGCTGAGAACGAATTTTATAGTTCAGCACGAAACACAACGCCTTTCACGACTCAAAATTACGTCTTGGTTGCTAAAGAACAGCTGTAACGAACTGAATGAACACTTACAACAAGGAACGGATGGATATTTAACACTGCTGAATAGGATCGTAATGTAAGACAATAAATCATTTTGTGAGCTGCTGACATATCCAAAATACTTACTGACCTACAAATGACAGAACAAATAGAGAACAAGTGGTTCATACCATCAGTGTTCACTGTGAATTTTGACATTTTGGAAAAAGTGAAATAAGAGATTCGCTTTGTAAGGGATAACGAATTTAGAAAACATAAAAGGCAACTAAAATCTTCAATTTGCGTGTCCATTACGGTCAGTAAGCTGGTTCGTCTCCAGTGCGGTAAAATACTCTAATTGTAAATCACCTGCCGATCTGAGGATAAAAGTTTTTTTTTAAAATCTATTTGAAGTCATGGAAGTGAACAATTCACAACAACATCTCAGGTCTGTCGCCACAATACTCATGAAGTTATGAAAGAATGAAAATTGGCGATTGGCATCTTAGGGTTAATTTGTTAATGGCTGCTTTGGGCGACCGTGGTGGCACATTTTTTGTATTGACGTAGCGGGTTGTACCCTTTTTGAGTTCCTTTCCCCAAAAACATTAAGCAAAATGAGAAAACAGCTCCGATACATCCATTATGGTTAGATGAATGGCCGTCACAAAATTCATGAAGCTGAATGAATAATCACTGCGTTAATAACGTTAAATGTACGGTGGTGATAAGGATGGCAAAGCAAGAGGAATTTGATGTCTGCGATGTTGGTAATAA